CTGTCTTCCCTCCTGTTTCTAGAAGGGCCAAACCCCTGTATTAGAGAGGAGGTGGCACTTATGGTCATGAAGTGAACAGAAAGAGCTGGTATTTGTGCTGTTACCCACTTTTTAAGACTGATACTCTGCTTATGTCTGCTTCTCTGGAGAGACTAGAGTGCAGTGGTTTGTTAAAGCACTAGTGAGTTTAAAACTTATTTCTTGTTATCTGAGTTTAAATTGCTCCCTTAGTAATGCACTTCTTAGAGTCATCACATGAGAAACGTTTAAATTGAATTGTGAGGACTTTTTCCTTCTCCAGGCACACCAGTGTTCGTAGCAATTACTTCTGATATCTTAGCTGTACCCTGCCTGCTTACTGGAATCCTAAGGCATCAAATGGATAGTTCTCAACACATCCTTAAGCAGTCAAGCTATTTCTCATGACAGCAGTTGACTATTTGTTTGTCCCGCTCTTTAATCTGTAAAACAGCACCTTACCTTCTGGTTGATTGATAAGTATTTGATGTAGCATTTCAGGGGAAACAGTGTTTGCTGTAAGATAATTTATTTTCTTGGGGTTCAAAGGTGGAAAAAAGCTTAGACTATATTAACTCCCAAATTTTCTTGAACATTATAATTGGGAAGATAACTTATGTATTATATGGCTTTTTCTTTCAAATTGTGTAGTACAAGATTAGGCTGTGCAGGATTTGGAGATACTGAATTCTTCCTGAAGGTAGTTTCTGAATGATAATCTTCTGCATACTTGAGAGTAACTAGTATAATGATATTAATTTCTCTGGGACTGGAATTTTGAAAATGTGATGCAGAGGTTGGTAGTTTAATTTCCTTCCCACACCCCCAGATTAAAAATATACTAGGATTTTTTTCTTAAATGCTTTCATAGTTTAGTTAGTTATTAAGATACTGAAGTGTCTGTTGACCTTGCAAATGTAAATGGAAAAAAGTTGCACCTTTTTTTGTGTTTCCTTCACATGTTATTTAATTTTTGAGACTCTATCTGCAATAAGAATCTAGAGTGCAGTAAATTGAAATTGAATGTGAGGGCAAGTATATTTTTTTTTGTACAGTTTCATGTTTGCATTAATCCCTCCCCCTCTAAGTGAATGTGTGACGGAAATATTATCAACTGCATTCACTTTTACTGTTTTTAGAGTTACCTTTCTCCTGCGTTTTTTCCACTTGAAACACAAAGATTTTTTTTTTTTTCTTTTTTTGATGCTGCAGTTTTGGGCTTTTGGGGGAGAGCCAGATGCTGAGGGACCAGCATTTAGTTTCAGTGCATCTGGCATATGATAAAATGCTGGGCAGAAAAGGTCTGTGAAAGACAACTATGTATTTTTACATTTGTTCTGCTGTATGGTTAGAAAGCAAGTTGAACACTGCTTTTTGGGTGTATGTGCCTGTATTTATATCTCTGTATCTTGAAATAAGCAGGGGTTGTGGGAGAGAATATTTAAAGATTCATAAAAATTACTCATTCTCTCTCTGTGATCAACTGTTTTCTGATATCAGTCCTGACACTCAAATATTGATTGAACTGTGAGTCTTGCATGCTGGAATAATAGCCAGTAGTGAAGCTGAGCTTAGTGAGGTTATTATGTATTGCTGGAGTGGATTTCTTCCTACCTTTCTCCTTGAGTCATTGATCTAGAGAAGACCTTAGGATCCAATGTTGAATTTAAGTGTTAAGGTTGCATACAAATCAGTCAGCTACTCAACATCAAGTTCTTCAGCTCACAAAATATCTCTCTGATGCCCTCTCCTGCTAATCACCTGGCTTCTAATAACCAGATTCTTTTAGCACTTTTAATGATAGTAGTCAAGTGTGTTTAAGCATTTACTTTTGTTTTTTTAAAAGTAGAATCAATACATATCAAAAAACTTCTTGTCATATAGGCTAATTTTTATATGTTACCTGTAATTATATGCATCCTCTGTTTGTTCAACTTAATGGAAAAAATATACAAATTATTTACTTCCTTTCAGAAAGCAACTGAGGAGACTTTTTTTCAGTTCATGACCAACTGCATTAATGTAATTGCAAAAGTATTGATTTTATATGTGCACTGCTAGTAATTATGCCCATATATTCATTAGTTCCTATTTTTCTTATTTGGCACTTTGGATTCAGCTAAACTTTTTTTCAGCTTGAAAAAAATCTGAATATCATTTTTAAATTTGTCATGGTAGATGAAGAAAATGTAGGGGAAGAATCCTGTGATACTAAATGATTTTTTTTTCTGATCATTGTGAAATCAAAATGTTAGATTTTATGCATACATCTACTGATCTGCAGTAGAAGTGACTTAATATCTCAACTAGTCTTTTTTACAGTATTAAAGATCTATTAGTAGAATATTTCTAAATGAATTTTGCTGCTTTAAGCTATCTTTTCCATTACTCACTGCTATCATTAGTTATATTGCAAATATAGTGGTGTGATGATGCTTCTTGGCTCTGTCTGAAAATGAAAGTAGTGTCCATTGCGGTGTTCCATCTGCAACTTTTTTCTAGTAAGTGATAGATATGGTATCTTAGCCAAAGTGATAGATACCCTTGGTTTATAATGTAATACTACCAGTTATTTTAGCATAGGCTCTAGGGTATGTTCTTGCAAACTCTGACGTACTTGATAGCAGTACTAACCACATCTAAATTTTCACAGGACTTGAATGAAATTTCATGTAGATAAGCAGACCCTGATCATTCATGTCATATATTGAAAAAAATGGAGTAACAGTAACAGGGGACTAGATACAGTAAAATGGAAAAAAATTTGTTCTGTTTATTGTTTTTTTTTTTTTTTAATGCGGCATGGTTTTCGCAAGTGTGATAGTGGAATAAAATCCAAGTTGATTCTGCTCATAATTGTCTTTGCAGCCACAAAAGCTCCAACATATTGTCTGCAAGGGATGATTTAGGTATTCAACAGCACAAATCTGTCTAGTTCTGAGAAGTTCTGGCTGTTCATAACTGTTCTGAAATGGGTTTATAACTCAAATGTAATATGGGTCCCTCTTCCTATTGTGACCTACCCTTCAAGGTTTGAGTTGGATTGGCTTGTTGATACTAATTAGGTAGTGTGTTTTAATTAAAAATTACAAGTCTCTGGTAATGAAAGAGCCAGAAGTGGACCGTAGCCTTAGTTCTACTTTCTAAGTTACCCTGTTGTGTGGAATACTGGCATTAGGAGAAGTGTCAAAGGTCTTTCTTCTAATGATATGTGAAGTTCTTACTCTTCCTCAACTATTAACTTTTGGAGTCTACATCAGTACCAAGTGCTTGTATCATGGATTGCAGGTAGTCACAAGCTTGAATAGGTAAACTGGAAGAGACACCATATTCAACAATCCATTCTGTATCTATAAAGATGCCACTTACATGTCAAATTGATCTGAATCTTCTCTGGAAGATCACAAGACAAGACAGGGAAGTTAGTCAGCTCTCCTTAGTTAAGAGCTAAGAAAGCTGTTCCAGGCTTTACATCACAGACCACCAGTTCCTAAACAGGGTGTGTATGAAGGGAGTTGCTGGCTAGATATAAACTTGATATAATGTGATACTTATGTTCATATTTTCAGCCATGCAAGAATTTTATAGCTTATAGGTGGGAATGCAGTAGGAAAAATTTAGAAGGAAAATTCAGAGCCACTGCTTTAAGGGACAGCAGCCCAATTTTTTTATTCCTGAGAAAGCCAGGAAAGTAGCAGTGCAGTCATTAACTGTGGCATCTTTCAGAGTTTGTAGTTGGGATGTCCATGGCATCCTGGGGAGATGATAAAACCTATGTTTTGGAAAAGGTAGCTAAGATCTGTTGAACAGCTGTATTACTATGGATGCTTCATGGTTTGTTAAATCTCACAGTGTTCTGGCAGTGGCACAAACACTTGTTTTCTTGGCAATTCTGTTGCTGCTGTTTGTCATAAAAGTTTTAGGAATCACAAAACTCCAGGAATCATGAAACTCAGTTTTGTGACTGTGTATTAAGAACGAATCAGGATCTGATCTCCTGAAGAGTAATTTCTTTCAGGGAAGATTTCATTTATCAACATAGAAACCTAGATTTATTAGACCTTTTTCTTTTGGGTGACATGTGTTAGCTGTTTAAAAAACAGATGAAAAACCATTTTTCTGTATTTTGACACTGTATTTGAACTGTCTTCAACAAATGTGACCAAGATGCATGTGTAACACACCATGGGTGTTAGATTTACTGCATTATTCTGGCTTACTACCCAGGACCACATATTAAAACTTGGTATTCTCAACATTCAGAGTGTATGGCAGTATTCCACACAAGCCCACCAGGCAGAGTAAGCTTCTGAGAAAGAGACCCAACTACTTGTAAGCAACTGTCTCCACTCTTGCCAATAGCTGTGGCTGCAGACCTTCAGCAAAACATGACGTTAAGCTAAAAAAAAGGCAGCTGGCAGGTCCAGTTAAAATAATTGAAGCTTTTTAAAAGACTCATTTGTTGCAGTGAGTTTTATTTCCCCATGAGGGCTGTGGAAGCTTTTGTGTCTGTGTGGGTGGCATAGATTCTTTTTCAGAGAACATGATGGAGATTCACCAGAACTTTAAGAGGAAGTCATTCAGCCCAGGTCCTGCACATAAGTACTTGTTGGTTTTGGTTACATTTTATTAATCTGATAATTGACTCCATTCATACAAATAACAGGGAGCTGTTCTGAGGTCTAGCTTGCTAGTAGTGTATATGATTCAGTTTTGGCTGCCATAGAAGGAGGAGACCATAATCAGTTTTACGTTTTCTGTGTTTTGACACACTGCTTTTTCTGATTGCATTATGTTCACATTTGACAAAAAACAAAAATTAATGTTGATAGAATGGTGGTTGTTGTGGTATTGCTGCTTCTGTGTTGTCTATGTTTGATTCTGGTGTAGAGCAAAGTAAATGTGTGGATTTACTGCCGTAGTTTTGTGTAAGACTGCTTACACTCATCATTTTGAAAACACTTCTTAATTCTCTTTCACAGATCCATGTGGATGGTTTAATAAACTGTTCGGCGTCCTGGTGAATCTGTGGTCCCAGCTGAGAAGCTGATTCAGGCTCCTGGGGTGTAAATTAGCAGTGGTGGAGTGATTTGGGTAGGTGACTGTCCACGTATGTTAAAGGAGATAAGGGGAGCTGAATGTTTTGGCACATTTTTTGTTTCAGTTACACTCTTAAGTGTTCTATTAATATCTTCTCCCCCTCACATGTAAGAATGACAAATTTTTAACTGCTATATTTGTATTACAGTAGCTTGTAGGGATGATGCATAAGAAATGTATATTGTTTGTTTTCTCTCAAGGGGTGCTGGAGGTATTCACTGTATTGGTACTGTCTCTTGCACTTGGGTCACAGAACATGGTCTGTTTGTACTTTAAAGTTGGTACAGCTCTGTGTGAGCACTTCTGTAGACTGACTTCCATTGCATCTGCTCTATTTTTCTGCATTATTTGCTTACTTTGAATTCATAACCCATTTTATGGTAATGTATTCAGGTAGCTTTGTGCAAAAAATAAAATTAATTTCAAACAAGTATTTCTGCCCTGCATAAGCTAACGAGATGCTGTTGTTCTATCTAGAGAAAGGTTAGAGTGATTTGGGTTGTGTTGGCTTTTTTGATTTTTTTTTTGCTTGTTTGTTTGTTTGTTTGTTTGTTTGGGGTTTTTTTGGTTTCGTTTGGTTTTTTGTGTTGTTTTGGGGGAGTCAGCTTTTTTTTTTCAATTGCATGCATATACTGTTGTATACTTGTTAGTGGTATGTTTAGCATGGGCTGAGACTGAAAGGATTTTTTTTTAAACTTATTTTTCATCGCATTATTTAATAGCAGATGCATATAGATGCTCAGAATTGGGTCATAGCACAGTAGGGAAAAACTGACTAGAATGATATGGGGTTTTTTTTATTTTCCAATTTTTGTCCCTAATTGAAGTGCCACAAAAGTCTTTGCTAGATTACAGTATATACTGGAATAGGATAATATACTGTCTTAGTCCTCATAAGGAATGTTGGGCAAATGCATTTTTTTTTATTCTGCTCTCACCATCTTTTGCTCTGATTTGAGAATATAGTTAGAATGCACCCACAAATATGTGTAACTAACCACAGAAAATGTTTGACTTTTGAGAGAGGAAATATTTTTATGGCAAAAATAATGTTTTAAATGCTTAATAATTGCTGAAATTATGTGCTTGGAAGTAGAGAAGTCGCAATACTTAAATTAGGTAAAATTGTGAAAAGACATTACCAGGTGTAGGAGCTTTTTACTTGGAAATGAGTTCATGGGGACAGAGTGGGTTTTAATGAAAAAAGTTAGATTTTGAGGAGCATATTCTGTTTTTGAGAAGAAAACCCTAAATATATATATAAAATACTTGATGTTCTGTGTGATGGCTTCACAATTGTTTCTGTACATCCTTGTTTACAGAATTTTAAGAAGTGCAATTTTTCTCTGTTAAACTTGGGAGATTTCTTTCATAATTCTCTGACTAGAGAATGATATTGTGGAAAAAACTGTCACAAAAGAGAAACCATTTTATCATTTGAATAGGTTGGGACTGCTAATAAGCTGCTACTGCCAAGCTAACCCCAAAGTGGGAGAGTTCAGGCAGCAGTGCACAGCTTGGATTTAGAGGAGGTTCTTTCTTTTTTTATGCTACTAATATTGTTCAGTAACATTGAATATGTGTAAGATAATAGGCAAGTACACATATTTAAATGTTGCTAATAATTTTATGTTAAATTAGAACATTGTTTTATAATCCTAGTTTCATTGTGAATCTCCTTGTTTCTACTTGGAAACACTTCAGTATTACTGGGGTAATTCAAATGGTATGCTTAAATGTAGAGCTTGTTTCTTGCTTTGAAATAGTTTGCTCTTAAGTCTAGTCCCCTTTTCACTCCTAACAGTTGATTCATTAGCAGCTTTGATTAATGAGTCTTTACTGGGGGAAGAAAATATCTACCTGCTAAAAAGAACAGGATTGTGAAGCAAATGCTTTTTGATAAGCTTGTGGCTGCATACATATCTTTAATAGCTGAATCGTAAAGCATGTTGTAATGAAAAATTTACTGTAGGCATTACAAAAGATCTAATAAGTGTTCTTCATGTTTTGTGATCGTCTTGGATAGAGGCTTTTTCATGCCAATTTGGTATGTGTTCTCCAGCTTCTCAAAAGCTTTTTGTAACGAGTAGGTTTCTGGGAAAGTCGCTGTATTTGTCAAGCTGCTAAATTCATAGCACAATATTAAATGCTTAGGTCCAATATGAACATAATGTATCAACATGTATTTGCAGGTACTGAAATATGACATGGAAATAGAAACTGTAAACAAGTTTTTACTTGAGAATAGTCAAAGTACATGAAAGAAACATAAGACTAAAAGTTGTCAGAGTTCTTTTATTTTTTTAACTATTTGTAATCGTCTGATAGGTGAATTTGACAAGGCTCTGAAATCTTCACTCTTACAGTGTATTGCAGCTTGTTTATTGATGTATTTGGAGATTGTTTGGTCTTCTGACAGTCCTTCATTTAAGGATGCAGTTTTGAAGCTGTGTAATTACAGTTAGTTAAGGAAATTCCTATTTCATTGTCTTGCTATCAAGACTTCCACCTGAATAAAGAAGGCTGCGTTGACTAAAAAGGATTCTCTGTATCCTATCCCTTCAGTATTCTTGTGACTTCTTTATTTTGGATGTGTTCCAAGATTCTTACATAAGCTCTGGTTTGCATATTTAATCTGTGAGTCCTCTTGACTTGCTGATTCATTTCTCCTTGTAGCAATAAATGCTGCCTTAATTCTCCCCCTTCCTAGTTATATTTGACAAGTTCTGGCGTGAAATGCCTGCTCCAACATATCTCAGGTGTTCCAGCTGTGAAGGTTAAACTAGTCAGCATGAGATGTATTTTATCTTGGCAATGCACTTGGGGAACTCATTGTTCTGTGAGCCTGGTGTTCCCTGTAGTGTAGGTGAGGTTATGGACAAGCTGTCTCAATAACTGAAATGATTTTCAGACCCATAGGCACTTCTATTAACATATTCTGGCCTGCTTTGTTGAATGTTTTTTTCATTTAGGACACCAAAAGAATAGTAGTTAGTTTGTCCCTTAAAATGTGTACACTGCTGAGAGTCTAAATAAGATTAGGTTATCATAGGGTTGACTTGTATGAACAAGCTTGCTGGCTGTCACATGGCCAGAATTGGGTATTGTAAGGAAAACATCCTGTCTCCATAGAGGCAACTTTGTTTAATTCTATGCAAAGGCTAGATGTTGGGGTACTAATGCTTGCATTACGTAAGCAGTTCTTGAATCTTGTTTGTCATTTAGTAGCTAGCAAATAAAAAACTTCTTAAACAGTGTCATAAATGTGTGGTGGTGTCAGAGGGGAAGTGTGCGGAGAATTCTTCTAAAGTATTTAAATAGCATATCTGACTTCCTTTTCCTTCTCTCCTCTGCTTTTCCATCTGCATTATCCCATGGAGACAGAATCAAATGCTAGCTAATGTAGGCAAGTTAACTTGGTTTCAACAGTTGTCTTTGAATCCCAGTGCCTATTTCTTCAGTTGAGATATTGCTTCTGTGTCATTCACAGACCTCTCTGACAATTTCTCTTTTCCTTTTGTTTCTTCTTTCCCCTGCTAACCCCAGGATATTTTTTTCTTAATGGTCCAGTTGAATACATTATAATATGAAAGTATATTTTCCTCCTAGTGGGAAGAGGTGATGGTGAAACAGAAATGCCTGATAGAATAGCTTAGTTTCAGTGATGTCATAAGCAGCTGTGGGAGGTTGTAATGGATGTGCCATAGTTTGTTTTTCTGCCAAAATACTTGTCTTAATATGAAGAATGGTATGAGTTTACAAATTTAATTGCACAAGCTTATATAAAAATTACAATTTTCTTCTTGTATCACTGCTGTGTCAGGGGCATCATACAACAATGGTGTGGAGAGCTGTACAGATGGATGTTTTACAGAATTCCACATCAGGATGAGAAATACTGGATGTCACTAAATAAGACCAGGTAAATTTGAAGCTAGCCAATCTGCATCAAGTTCAGTCCAAAGAAGCCTTGTACACAGAAAGCAAAAAGAATGAGTTGCTTTAATTTGTAGGGAAGGAGTAGCATGGGATGTGCCATGTGTTTTGGAATGCTATACTGCCATGATGATATTATACTACAGATTACCTATCTGTGAAGACTTCTAGTCATCCAAGACAGACAGTCATTTTTGATTAAATGGCATAGTGTTTCTACAGGTCCAAGTGGTCTTCTGACACTTCTGTTGATAAGTAAATGAAGACAAAGATGATAAGAGTGAGCTAGCTGACTAGGTAAGTGATGTAAAGGAGTGGGCTTTCCTGTTATGAATTGGCAGCTTCATTTTAGGGTGAAAAGAGATGACAGATTTTCCTCAGATAAAAATGACCTGAAGTAAACATAGTTACAGAGAAGAGGCAAGTAGAATATCTATTAAAGCATGTGCAGAAGTAAAAATACCTGATACAAATGCAAGATACTGGAAATACTGCTCATGAAAGACTGATGAATAATTCTAAGAATATTTATTAAGAAAAAAGTGTTGGGTACTCAGTTAGAAGGAGAAATGCTTATGGTTGATCTGCATAGTGTCACTGACCCATGGTAGAAAAAGTGATGTGTTTGATGGTTAAAATAGCTGCTGGCAATTTAGGAAGGGCAAAATGATGAAAAAGGACAATTCTATTTTGATGAGAACTGAAAAAAAATAACACTTATCAATTGGTTTTCTCTGTGGCCACAGCAGAAATAGCTTGCTATGGACTATAATATTGCAGTCACATACAGGATGACTAACTCCCTAAGTACAGGAAACTTAATTTTATGTGCAGGTGGTCTTGTACTACTAATACTAAATATTCATTTAAAAGATGATGGATGCAGTATTTTTAGAAGTAATTATAAAAGGACTTGGAGTAGCACCTATTATTTAAAGGAGACAAATAACCAGTAGTGTATTTAAAACCTTGTTTTTGATCAAGTATAAATGACTGTGAATTGACTTTGATTGTACATAATAAATATGAAGTTTAATCAGCAGCATTTATTTGTTCCTTTTTATAAAGATCACTTGGAAGCCATTCAGTGAAATCATCTGTATAGAAATTCCTTTTCTACTCAGTTTTGAAGGGAAATCAGTTAAAGGATGTTTTACTAGATGCTTAGAAAACATTGAATCTAAAACAGGCTAATATAGTAGTGAGAAGTGTGCATCTGTTAATTAAATGGGGGAGGGGAAAAAGCCATAGCAGTGAATTGTGGGTTAGAAGCTTCAGAAAGTAAAGGATGAAGGGGGTCTACCTAAGATATCTAGGAGGCTAATATTAGGACCACTAAAGTGAATGAGAATGAGATAAAATATACCAAAATATACTTCTTTTTAATAAATTTAACAGATATGTTTAACTTGCTTGGCAGAATAGGAGACTTTTGTAATTATGAAAGTTGAGAAGAACTTGATGATCAACAGACAAATGGTTCACATTATAAATTTTTTTGATCAGCTGGGAAATTGTTTGACTGTAATCCTGTAATAAGTTAGGTTAATTCTGCCTTTATGGTAGAGGATTATTATTTTCCCTAGAATATCATGTCAAACTCTTGTTTTACTCTTGTAGTTCCCTTTCTCTACCCCTTGAACTAGTTGTGTAAGTGAGAAAGGAGCACTGCTTATCTTTTGCAGTTAACTGCTGCTGTTTGAGGATAAAATTCTTCTTGATTTGACTCTCTGAGGGTAGGTGGAGAAACCCCTCTGGTCTTTTTTGCTACTACCAAGCCATGTAAAATTCAACCAAGAGAATGTTCTTGCTCAGTTTAAATGTTTATATGGCTTTTGCTTCAATCCTTACTTTTTGTGCTGAAAAGCAAAAAGTATTCCAGGGTTATTCTGAATCTCTATTCACAGTTACAAATATTGTAACTTATTTTGGAATAATACCTCCCCTCAAATCCAGAGGTAAAACTTTCTGAAAGTTTGGATCTTTTGTTTCATGTAGGGCCATGTAGTTCTGTTTCATGTAGGGCCATGAAAATGTTGGGAGGGCTAAGGTACCTCTTCTGTGAAGACAGGCTGAGAGAGCTGGGGTTCTTCAGCCTGGAAAAGAGAAGGCTCCAGAGAAACCTTACAGGAGTTTTCAGTATCTGGAGGGTGCCTACAAGAAAGATGGAAAGGGACTTTTTGCAAGAGTGTTTGGTGATAGGACAAGGGGGAGTGGCTTTAAACTGAAAGAGGTTAGGTTTAAATTGGATATTAGAAAGAAATTCTTTCCTGTGAGGATTGTGAGGCACTGAAACAGGTTGCCCAGAGGAGCTGGGAAGGACCCATCCCAGACTAGATCAGGCTTTGAGCAACCTGATCTAGTGGAAATTGCCTTTGCCTGTGGCAAAATGGTTGGAACTAATGATCTTTAAGGTCCCTTCCAGCACCAGCCATCCTATGATTCGGTAGCTGACCTAATTGGAGCACAAGGGGAAAAAAACCTACCTTCTTGAAGATATCAAGAAAATTGGTTGACTCCTGTCTCTCATGGTAGAATTGTGGGCTTATTTTTCTCCCTGAATAAAAAAATCAGGACTCAAAGTATTTCTTCTCTTGATTTTATGTTTTTTATTAAACTTAATTTGTTTTTTTTTGCTTACTATGGAACAGTAAACAAACAGACCAGGTAGATATGTCTGCTTTAAATTTTCTTTTTAGAAAGCCTAGATGTTTGTACCAGCATAGCTGTACTATTTGCTTTTTATGCATGTATTTGTATAGGTGTAACACATGTAGTGCATTTTCATTCACGATGGGTAAAATCAATTATTTCCCAAAGCACTATGATTACCCTTTGTGTAATCTAAAGGAGTTTCAGTAAACAAACTGGAATTGCCTCTCATGATTCAACACAAGTGTAGGATAGACAACAGGTTGATTGTCCTTCAGATCAGGTTAGGGTGACTTAGCTCGATAGAGGAGCACATGATGTGGGGGATGGTGATGGTAAACACTATTTAGTTTGATGAGCAGTAGTATTTGCACAACAGCAGTCTGGTAGGTGTTGGGATTTTATTTATAAGCATTGTTGTGAATGCAAGAAATGAGGAAAATACGAAGGAATACATGGTGAATACATTTTATATACCTATGTGGGAATGTTGTCAAGAGTTGCTCTGAAAAATTGGTGAAGCTAGGTGTCTTGGTTTGAAAAGGAAGGCAGGAGTCTTCTTTGAAATGGAAAATGTGAACCCCCTTCCTCCAAATTATTATAATTTTGAAATTAAGGGGCTCTCAGGCGAAGATATGGGAATAGGAATAACAGTTCTTTACTAGGAAAACTAAAAAATACAAATGTAATAGTACAAACAAAAAAACCCCAAAACTACTGACAGAGCCAGAGTGTGGCCTGACACCCTGTGGGTCAGGGTGTTGGTAGCACTCCTATCCAATGGTGGCTGCAGTCCTCCTGCAGTGCCAGGTGTGGTTCTGTTGGAGCAGCGATCCTGTAGAAGGGTGGAGTTTTCCTCTGAAGGTCCCGTGGTGGTGTAGATGGGTTTGGTCTTCCTCTGGGAATGCAGTGGAGAAGACAGCTCCTCCTTTGGGAATCCAGTGGGAAAAGGCTGCCTGTGGTGTTCCAAATCTCAGAATACATCCAGGTAGGAATGCTTGGCTCCTCCCCTGGGCAGAATGCTTGGCTCCTCCCCTCCCATCTCACAATGGGATGATGTAATTTTATCAGTCATGCAGTGACACTCAATGGCTCATCAACAGAAGATATCTCCCCAGAGGGAGGATTGGTTGTGGGAGAGAGAAAAAAACCTGCCCAATTAACAGAGGATGACTGCCCAACCTCTAACAGATGGGAAATAGAATACCCCCAGACCATACTTTACAACACAGGAGACTAGATAGATGGTGGTAGAAGCTAATTTTATTGATTGAGGAGTTTCCCTTTTGATTTTGAATGAGAAAATAGTTTGAAAAATAAGAGAAATAAGCTGCTTATATCTTCAAAGGAAAAGGGGCAAAGTAGGAGTACTTAAACCAACAATATAGTTAAGCAGTGTCCTAGAAATTATTTTTGTAGTAAGTATAATTTTTGGGGGGTTAAGGTTTTGTTTTGGGTGTTTGGGGCTGGGGACAGATGTGACTACAGAGATTCAAAGGATGAAGAAGCAAAGAGAGTTGTGGGTCAGAGTAATGGACATGGTACTGGTGATTTCCAGAAGTAAGCAAAGGATGTGATAAAAACATTGTTGCTGATGGTTGAATTTATGTTTGGTTTTATATGCATTGAATGTAAGTAGACCATCCCCAGCTGTGCTTATCATCTGGAAAATTCTTTAAGATGGAAGCATGTCAGGGACACTAGTATTAGAAAGGCTGGCGAAGCAACTTGGGGTATGAAAAAAAGCATATTGAAACAGAAGAAGCAGCAGAAGAGTGGAGAGGGATGTGCTGACCTACAGCAGAAGAAACCACAATGGAAAGATAAGGAAGCAAGAGAGCTGACTCTTTGGGGGCTCTCACTATTATTGAGGACTTTGTCACTGGAAGGGTCACCTGTAGACCTGTACTAGGTCTCGGAGAAGTCTTGGACTGATAGGAGATATTAGCAGTCCAACCCAGCTTTTCTTTTCCCTTTTTTATATTTTGATATTTCTCTTTTCCTTATTTTCCTTTTTATTTCCATACCTCTGAAACAGTCAAATTTTGACTTAGGCTCCTCATTTTCAAGCATGTGAACTGTAGTTTTCTTCACATGCATTGAAAGCAAACAGTAACCATAGGAGATAAAGATTTGGTATCTGTAGGCATTTTTACATCTAGCAAGATTTAAGTTTAAGGCTCATTAGTCTTAAACTAGTGAGTAGGTGTTAGATAAATTGGTTAACCTCTGTCTCTCAGTATTTGCTATTCCAGATTTAGATGCTGGTCTCTAGTCTAATCAAAGCTGTTGAAAACGTTTGTTTCTTTTTAAATGAGGTGCTAATAACAGTACTGCTATCTAACTGCTGATGTTCATTCTGGTCTCTGTTTTTATGTGCCATATTGTTAATGCTTATTCTCTGCCCAGTCTCTTACTATTGTTAACACCAGAAAACATAAATTTCATGTGCATTATTTTTTGGATTTCTGTAATTTTATGGGAAAACTCGACTATGTGCATGGTCACAGAGCATATACATTAAAACTGTTGAGTAATTTTGTCCATCATTTTAAGTCTAAGTTCTAAACTCTTAATGGTATTAAAATGAAAGCTGGTATCTAAAATGAAATAAGTCCATTAATCTCACTGTTGATTCTCAGTAC